CAGTAGAAGGTGAATCAGGCCCCTCCCTCCTGTGTGGGGGGGGGGGGGGGCGGCGGATGCCTCTCTTTTCCCCATTTTTGAGCTTGCCGCTTGCTGATATTAAAAGCATCACAGTGCCCCCAGTAGAAGGTGAATCAGGCCCCTCCCTCCTGTGTGGGGGGGGGGGGGGGCGGCGGATGCCTCTCTTTTCCCCATTTTTGAGCTTGCCGCTTGCTGATATTAAAAGCATCACAGTGCCCCCAGTAGAAGGTGAATCAGGCCCCTCCCTCCTGTGTGGGGGGGGGGGGGGGCCTTCGGCCCGCGGGGGGGCTGCACTCTTCGCACTCTTAGTGAACAGACTGCCGCAGACAGCTCGCATCTGCGCATTTTCACCAGGGACGACGCAGCACGTTATTCTGAATGCGTTATACAGTAGGTATGCCGAAGGTATGACAGGATACAAACATGGCAGCCGCTCACAGGATTACAAGCTGACGCATTCGGTCTTCCTGGCCCCCAGGGTGTCGGGGGGGGGGTCTGTAAAGCATGTGATCCTCACACCACCCACCGAGCAGGCAATGCGTCATATTTACTTATTGGTGTAGCGGATAGGTGTGACAGTGTTAATCAAAAGGGGGGCGGGGGGGGGGGAGACGACGTGTTTGGGAGAAAGAAAAAAGCCCCACAGACCTCAAGACAGCTGCCAGCCTTAGTGACGTTATGCAGATATATTAGGGACGTGGATCTGATATGAAAAAAGCTGCAATTTAGAGTCATTACCTTAAGAGTCTCAAAGTCTCAAATGCAGGACTTACTACTATCAGAACTCCAGCATTCCAGATTACCTTCCTATAATATCAATTATTCCATCGTAACATTAGCCTTATAATTAAGAACAGATTACCTTAGAGTAAACACGTTATCTAAATTAAGCACCGTTTAGATTAAAATCATTGTTCTTCATGGTAAACACTTAATTCTCTCATTGTGTTTTAATTGCCACTTGATTCCAGAATTTACTGCAAAAGACCAACATCCCCAGACAAACAAATTTAGTCTTCACTAATGTTTAATGCCTATGGTGGGTTGTATTTTTAGTGTGTTATTTTCAAAATGTAAAATTCAGTGAAAATGATTCCCTTTTGAATCAGTATGTCTATTGAGCCGTGATGGAAGCGCCATCTTCATAACAATGGATGCCTACATAATTTTAACATTTATTTGAATTCTGAAGTAGGCACCTAGACTTTACATTAAATCTGTTTACATTTAGGAGAAAATGATTAAATTCAGTTTTTAAGAAGCATGAGTCTCTTCTACCTTTGACTTACTTATTTTTAGTGATTTATGTGATGCCTGATGTACCACTGCCATGGGAATGAGTAATATTCATGTACAAGAAAATATAAATAAAGTGATATATAGAACTGGTGCCTCACTAAGTTTGATTTCCTTCATTTTATACTGTTAGAACACAGAAATAGCAGTGTCCCATAAATATTTAATGAACACAAGAAGAGCCCATTAAAACACTTTAATGCATAATTGTTTTTGTAATTGTTTAACCAGTCTGAACCGTGTGGCCCTTGTGTTCGTTCACTGGAAATATTTTTCTGAACATTTCATTTACTTAGCTCCTAAATACAAATTAAAACATATATAATTATCTGAATATAATTCTGTCCTCTGAGGTTGTTTGTAATAGCAATAGCTTTGGGCTAGCAGACTGCATTCGCTATTCTGCGTTTTAAACTGTGTGTTTTAAAATAATTTAAAATACATTCACAGTGACTTTTGTTAAATTGCCAGGGAAGCAGTTGCCTTCATTAGCATTCGAGGGGAAACTGGAGAGCGCAGCTCCGCTCACTGCATACAGCACTTCACTGTAAGCTAAAGCTAAGTACCTTCCTCACTTTGAGTATTTAATACTCCGCAGCATGATGCTACTTTTCAACCTGGTCGCTTCACTGCAGCCTGCATATTTTGAACATACCTGTATTCATTTTAGCCCTGATTCATAGTTCAACGTGGATCTTGAAAAAGTGAACTAAGGCAGCCACTGCATTTTCATTACGTTTTAATTGTCCTTATTTATTTGGCAATCTTTCTTCTGACGCCATATATTTTAAGCCATTGGCCTGGTTATAACATATTACATGGTTGCATTGCTGGTATTGAAATCTGTGGAATCCCTTTGTGTAACAGACCTAGTGTGCCTTGACTGAATCTCATCCCATCAGTCGACAGTTTCCATTGCATGCTTGGCAGGAATTTGCCGCAATATTGTCATATTTATACACAAGTATACTTACTTGGGCCCTATTGCTGGCATCTGTCTGGCCTCCTAAAATTCAGACAGCTGGTCAATTCACACTCTCCCCCCCCCCCCCCACCAAAGTCAGCTGGAAAATGGTCCATATTTCTTCAGCCTCGTAGCACATGCTACCATTCACCCAGTCAAGTCAGTGATTAACATTAAACAATTTAGTCTGAACTTCACCAAAAGCACAATAAACATAGAGCTGTGGCCACAGTTCTGTGAAACTGAGAGCCTATTTAAAAATGCGAATACGTATTAGTGACCCTTAATTTAAACAGCACTACTTGTCCTGAAATGCGACACCTACTGAAAATTATTTTACGCACAGCTTAAAATGTGGTGTTATGGAAATGAAATTAGTGCAGGAATCGCTAAAAGCCATTCTCCCAGTGATCCTTCCCGGAGGTATGTATCACTGTCTCATTACGTATCTGCTGAACCTGTGACCTTTAATGTGAAGGGATTGATGTTGTGTTCGCCAAATAAATAAACATACTCCAAAGCAATGAGATACCTTCGGCTGATTAATAGACTACTTCATGGAGAGTTAACATTATTATTGCTTGCATTTCCTGTAAATTGGAAAAAAAGTATGCAGACTGCTTTCCTAACACCGCACAAAACAGACCGGTCATTAATCTGCTCCTTTATTACATTTGTTAGCCTTGCATTGATGTACAATCCCTCCCCTCTTGAGCAACGAGGAATCCC